TTTTTTTTTTGAAGAACAAAAGTCTGATTGAGGATCAGAACTCAATCATATAGGGAAATTGTGTAAAAGATTGCATTTTTATCACAAGGGCATCTCTTGTTCGATCCAAGAAACGATCTTTTTCTACCTGAAACATATCGTTAATCCAATTAATGATACTTTCCACCTGAAAAATGTGATTCAATGCAGATTGAGCAAAAAAAAAAATCAGATGAACATGTCTGATTTTATTACCCGATTAATCCAAAAAGATGATATCTTTGAGCTTTGTAAGCTCGGAAAAGGGAGAATTTATAACTAATTACCTGTTATTCGGTTCCTGATGATCGGGGAAATCAGCGTTCTGCAGAATGAAACGAATCCCAGATTACATAAAAAAAAAAACCGGATGAATCTGAATAACTATGATGCTTTTCTTTTCTTGGTAGGAAATAGAAATAAAATTGGATCAATATGAATTCAACTTAATAAGGGTTGTTTTCAGGTCTGAATATTTACGTTTTGTTCAGACGAAATCCGGTAGATTTCCCCTAACACGCTTATACGTGGAGCTATCCATCTCTTTCGTGATTTTAAGTTATTTATGTATATTTTCATTTTTAAATACTTATTTGATGTTTCGGTTTCCTTGGTGCAACTGTGCAAGTCAAAGTAATAATGAAGCTTCTCAACAAAATGTGAGAATTAAGAAGGTATTTAACTATTTATAGAAAAAAAAAAACTTGAAAAAATATTTTGTTGATATTGCTCATATATTGACAAAGGAAGGAGGCATGCTGATGTCTGCGAGCATAACAGAGCGAACGTAGTGAGGGAAGTTGAGTGACCGAGCGAAGTGAGCAGAGTGGAGCGAGCAGCTTGTTGGGCTGGATCGATTAGTTGGGCCGGGAGTGCGGGGGCGAAGCCCCCGCGGTATAGACGGGGTGCGGGAGCAGAGTTCCCGCGGTACGGTACATGGTATTTAAATAAATTAATACCTTGTAGGGTTATATTATAAATACATGGTGTATTGATGTATTTGAGACTATTGAGAATAATAAAGATCCCTCAGCCGTCGTGGACGTAGGCATATTGACGAATCACGTAAATCTTGTGTTGTTTACTTTTCTCGTTTTTAATTTGTATGCCATATTGTCATCTTCTCTCTAACATATTTTTTTTTTTTCTGTAGAGATATACGGATGAGACGATGAGTAGTAAGTAGTTCAAGAAAAGGAATATAAGATTTTTTTAGATATTTGATTATTGACAAATGTTTGTATGAAACTATTCAATCATTGAATCCTCAATGATGGTTGTGGAAAGCTCGTAATTTGTGGATGTTCAAAGGTTCTTGGGTGGATGATAAATCTCTGGTGGACATAGCAAGCAGAGAGTGGAGGGAGTTTTCAGAGATCTGACTGCTTGGTTTTTGGGTTTTTGGGGTTAGCTGTTTTAGTTTATTTATTAGGTGTTTTAGCTTAGTTTTTGCTGCTCTTTTGATAGGAATTCTACTAGGCCTTTTGTGCAGTGGTAGAGTTTCGTTTTGTTGGGGTTAGAGTTTTTGGTTAGCTATTGGAGCCAATGGGAAGACATTGCCACTAGCTAGCACAAAACTCTATTTTGTAGGGATTGCAGCTCTTATTTGCCTATTGGCTTTCTATTGCCGGGAATGGCCTGCTTTATAGACCAGTTGGTCTGCGATTGTTGACAATGTATTCTTTGGTTGTGAGTAATATAACTTCTATCGTTTCGAAAAAAAAAAAATCCTCATACTTTTTTTTAATAAAATTAAATATTTATATTAGAAAAATAAATTATTATGTTTGTTTCTATTAGAGCATGAGTTTTTTTTTTTTTTTTTGGGTACAAAGCATGAGTTTTTAACTTTTTTTTTATTTAAAATTAATATTTACTAACATGGAGGATGATAAAAATTGAGGTGTAAGTTTAATAATTGTTGATTTAAAATGTGATATAATGTATAAAGTAATAAAATCATTACTCAAATATCAAGTAAAATAATGCAAAAAAACACACTCTTAATTCTCAAATATTCCACTTCACCTCTTGTCTAAAGATAGACAAAAAAGTTACTCCAAACAATACCTCTTGTCTATAAAAGATAGACAAAAAAAAGTTACCTCAACCATAACAATAACATCTCACAGCCAGGTCACAGCAATAGGGCTCCTAACAGAATACCTGCCAAAAACCCACTCTAAAGACCCAAATGAAAAATTTGTAGTAGACACAACATTAATCCCTTCACCTCTTTGTGCCATAAAACTCACACTATAACTCAATTTTTCTCCTAATTCACTAAATTCAAGAACTTTAGGCTGCACAACAACAAGAACCCCATCAGGCTCAACCACCCTCACAGAATAATGACTCTCTTTACCCCCAACATTTGTAACTGTCCTCATGTAAGTCACAGTAAAATTCCCACCTTTTTTACTTAAATTTACTGCAAAAGAGGGGTAGTTTAAGTCACTAGGAGGCTTATTAGAGCAAGCAAATGCCCCACCAGCAAAAACCCTGATCTGTGCAGAGGTGTAGTTCAGGCTGCACAAATAATCCAGATAGTCCTCGGTCGAGATGTCGTAAACCAGGCCCGGATCGGAAGCCCGTTCCGGATCCACATGGCCCGACCCGAAATCAAATGGAGTGGCAAAACCCGACCCGTTGAACGCAGCATCTAAAATCGGGCCGTTCCTCGAGTCGCGGGTCCCGGCTGTCGTCATGAGGGCCGATTTCAATGCGGCGGGTGACCAGCCGACGTGCATGGACTTCAACAGCCCGATTATCCCACTCACGTGGGGGCACGACATGGAAGTCCCCGAAATTATATTGAACAGAACGTGCCTTTTGTCCGAGTCGAGCTCGGTCGGGCTGAGATTTTCGGGCCATGCGGCGAGGATGTCCACTCCTGGGCCCGTCACGTCGGGCTTGACGATGTCGGGCCCGATCAGGCTGGGTCCACGGGAGGAGAATGCGGCCATGACGGGAGCTCGGTTTTCGTACACGTCGCCCAAGAACTCGATGGAGGCCGTGGGGGGGAATGCGGATGATGACGTGTAATTTTTGACGGCATTCGATGCGGATGCTCCTAGTGACGTGGCGGGTAGAATGTGCGGGTCGGCGAAGAGTTCTTCGCCCTGGATTTGGTTGTTTGCGAGGATCATGCCGGCCCCACCGGCCGACTTCACGACTTCGCCTTTCGCGACTCGCCCGTTGCCTCCTCTGTCGCAAATGACGATTTTGCCCTCGACCTGTTTTCGAGACAGGGAGCTGGTGATGCAGAGCTGCGCTTCTCTGCTTTCTCCATACACCTGCAGGGGATTCGACAAGAAGAGAAAATGACAAAGTGAAAATTTAAGAAAAAAATCAGCCTTTTTTTCCCAATGGTTCTTGATTCGCTAGATTTTTACCAATGGTAACATCCTGGTTGGTTTGCCAGTATACAACGAGGAACCTGTGGAAACCCGGCCGTCACCTAACCGGACTCGGGTAAAAAACCGGCGGTCCGTGTAGCTGGCGCCAACTGTCATCATCCACGGGGCAGCATTGCTGACTGTACCGCCAAACGGGCCTCCATTCCCAGCCGACAAAATAACGCTAACTCCTCTACGCACGGCACCAAATGCTCCAATGGCAATATTATCGAGATAATACGGCTTTGGCGCGCCTCCCAAAGAGAGTGACAAAATATCTACGCCGTCTGATAATGCCTTCTCCATGGCAGCTAATACATCCGAACTTGTGCAGCCCAACGTGTAACATGCTTTGTATGCCGCCAGTCGAGCCGTGTACCTCATGCCAGCAGCTTTTCCCTTGGCCAGGCCTAGAAAGTCCGCGCCTTTTACCAGATTGCCACCTGGCAGGTTTATAACATGCAATTAGAAAGAAGTTTATTGTTTAAGCGCGAAATTGAAAGTTTAACGAACCTGCGGTTGAAGCAGTATGTGTGCCATGGCCCTGAGAGTCACGAGGCGACCTGTAATCTAACGTCTCGTTTATTCTTCCAGCAATGGCTTCGTACGCTTTGTAAAATGCACCAGCGCCGATAAGCTTTCTGTTGCATTTCGAGGCAGGGAATTTCGGGCCGCGCTGGCATTTCCCTTTCCAGCGGGAAGGCACAGGAGGTAGGCCCGTGCCGGAAAAACTCGGGTGCTCGGGCCATATTCCTGTGTCGATTATCCCGATAATTACATCTTGGGCCAGGTTTTTGGAACTCCACAGGCCCATTTTCTCCCGAAGCCCGAGAAAACGAGGGGAGTGTGTCGTGTGGAGTTGGAGTAGCTCGTCCCGGGTGGCAGAGAGGAAGCCATCGACTTTTTTTAAGGATGTGAGGTGTTTTGTGGAGAGTTTTGCCGAAAAGCCTGAGATTATGTTATCGTAAACGTAGAGGAGTTGAGCATTTGGACTTATATGGTCTAGATTAGCTTTGTCTTCGGCTGCTGTGGCAATGCTGATGGACTCGATTAGTTGTTTGTACAATTTTTCGGGAGATTTTAGAGTTAAATTGTCTAAAGATTTGATTTTTGACATGTCCATGTGGACCACGTACGTGTTCGAGTCCGTTGCAGCGTATGAAGAAGATAAAAGCTCGATACACAACAGAACTAGGAAGAAACCTATCCTGAGAATTATCATTGTACCTAAGGGGAAAAAGAAAAATATATTGTAAGATGAAGAAGTGTGGCACGAGCCGAATTGCAAAAAAACCAAAATACAGCGCTCACCGAAGCTAAATTTTTGTCAGGAGTTTCGAACAACTACTGATCTGATCTTCCAGCTGCTTTCAGACACAAAGTTGTTAAAAATCAGCTAAAAGTACTAAAACTGTGTTATAATAAGGCACAGCTTATTGTAGTGGCATTTTAAGTACCTGTTTGTCTATCCTTATTTAGCTCATGCCACTGTGAAGACAAAAGGGAAGGCACATTTTATAGACAAAAGGGAAATAATCACTTGCGCGCAACTTATCTTTACGTGCACGCCTCATATTGGACGAACAAAAAAGAGGCTGAAAAAAGTTTGACAGTGATATATTTGAATTGCAGTTAACTGTATAGCCCTTTGATCCTCTCTCAGTGTACATAAGACTGCATATTTCGAAGTATTTTAGGTCCAAATTACTCGTTACAGTTCTATTCGTGCCGAGTGAATACAGTTCAAAGGGCTGTTTAACATGTAACTAAGGATTGTTACAAGAGATCAATGTCCAAATGGCAAGTGCTAATGTGTACTATCATACAAGTTAGTGGCAATATTGGTGGTCTTGTGGGCAAATGCCTATTAATGGACCATTCATCATCACATTGTTAGCTTTGCTTCCACTTAAAGGCAAAGCTATGAGTTCCCATGCTTAAAAGAAGTCAAGTGAACAATGGATTGAGATTGAGAGAGGATAAAAGCTTTTCATCTTTCTTGAGTAGTGAGGATGGACCATGTGAAAACAATTAGTTTCAAATTGATGGCCACTCCATAAGCACCCCAATTTTTTATTTTTTATTTTCATTTTGCTTGTGTGTGTGTGTGTGTGTGTGTGTGTGTTTCAACTTCATGTCCACTCCAAGAATTACTAGGTCAGCCTAAAAAAATGCTTTAGATGGCAATTGTTAAGATGAAAAGTAGAAGAGAAAATTGAATGAAATGAGATTCAATTAATAGGAGAACACACACTTGTTTTCCATTTGTTAGTAAAGGTTAATGATCATATGAAATTGTAAGGGCAAGAAACATATGTTGAGGACAAAAGAATTTGTGTTACATGGATGGATATATGAACTCTTGTTATTTTTCTTGTTTCTTCTTACACAAGTTACTCAGAACAAAAATTACTAGATAATTACTTGCCTTTGTTTTTTCCGATTAAAAAAAATGAGATACAAGTAGTACTACTAGCTAAAATTGCTAAAGCCCCAATTACCTCACATCTAAAACCCCTACGGCGTGGCTCCGTTAACCATGAGAAAAAAATGACAACCTTTATCAGCCGTCTCTACCGCCGGAAAACACCGTGTGCAGTTACTCTACTCTCCACGCGCCGCCGTCTCTTCACATCCCCCTCCCCCTCCCCCTCCTCCTCCTCGACTTCTTCGAAACTCCGCACCGAATACTCCTTTGTGGCTCCCCCCTCTCTCCATCCACAAGAACCCAATAAGACTACCGATTTTCAACCCGGGCCTGAACCCGGAACCCGAAAGCCGCCAAAGCCCGCCTACCGCCCCCCATCGTCCCTCAACAGGTCGGTCCGGCCGACCAGGTCCGACCTCCCTTTCGATTTCCGGTTCAGCTACACGGATAGCAGCCTAAAGGTTCGGCCCATCGGGCTGAGGGGGCCAAAGTACTCGCCTTTCGGCCCGGGACGATTGGACAGGGAATGGACCGGGGTTTGCGCCCCCGCCGTCGACCCGAAAGTTGGGTCCGCCGAGGTGGACGGTGAGTTGGAGGAGAAAAGGAGGCTGATGAGAGAGAGGGTCCAGGGAGAGCCATTGACTAATTCTGAAAGGAAAGCTCTTGTTGAGGGGTGTCAGAGGCATAAAACCAAGAGGCAGATTAATTTGGGTATGCTCAATTTTCTTTTTCTCTCTCTCTTTTTTTTCTTTTAATATTCTTTTGAGGTGTTGGCTTGTATGTGTTGAATTGGGGTGTGAAAGTTCTGAACTTGAGCTGGAAAAAAGGCAACAATTAGCTGATGTTCTAGTAGTGCTATTGAATTTGAGGGGAAGCTGTACAATTTTGGTTACTTTAAAATCCTGTGAAGAAATAGAATGTAGATGGAACACCATTGATAGTCATGGTGTATTGTTTATAAAGCTATTAGCTGTTGTTGTTGGTCAAGTCTCGTAAGGTTTGGGAGTCTTATGGTCATTACATGCTCATATTATTGTGTTTGTATGCTTATATGACAGCCACACTTGATTTGAGTAGCCTTTTATTGGCTCCATTAGACGCATTTCATGGTATACATAGTTGGAATACAATGGTTCGCGTTCTTTCAACTTGTTTTGTTTGCGTAGGAATGAAGTTTTCTGATTTATATGATCAGATTAGGTTCACCCTTATGTTTATTGTGTTGATAATGCTCCCTACTGGCTCTTTAGCTATTCTTATTTACAAAAAACAGGAAAGAATGAAAGAAAGAAAGAGTTTTTTTTTTCTTCTTCTCAGAATTAGGATATAATAAAAAGCTCAGGGCCTCATCTTCATATTTGAGTTTGTTTTTGCCTTTTGGTGTTGTCATTTTTAGGGAGGGATGGTTTAACTCACAACATGTTGAACGATATTCATAATAACTGGAAACACGCTGAGGCTGTGAGGATAAAGTGCATGGGAGTCCCTACTGTGGATATGAAGAACATATGCACACAGTTGGAGGTAGCTTTGATTAATCATTTCTCTTATTTTTCCTTCTTTTCTTTTTGTTTTCTTTTCTTTTTGGTGAACTTATAAATTCGTTTTGAGTTAGCTTTGCGGTTTTATATATCTCAGGATAAAACGTTTGGTCAGATCATCCAAAGACATGGCGGCCTACTTGTGCTTTATAGAGGTAGGCATTACAATCCGAAGAAAAGGCCCGTGATTCCACTTATGTTGTGGAAGCCTCAGGAGCCCGTTTATCCTCGTCTCATCAAAACTACTATCGATGGCTTAAGCATTGAGGAAACTAAGGAGATGAGAAAAAAAGGACTATTTGTGCCTGCCTTAACTAGACTTGGTAAAATCATGCTTCGGGTTTTCTTCTTTTTTATTTTTTATTAGAAAACGATGATTTTTCTTTTCAGTTGCTGTTATAACATATGAATTACCGTTTGCAGCTAAAAACGGCTATTATGGTAGTCTCATTCCGATGGTACGAGATGCTTTTCTCTGTGATGAGCTCGTTCGAATAGACTGTAAAGGCCTCCCGAGGAGTGATTACAAGAAAATTGGGTGCAAATTGAGGGTAACGCCTTCTTGCTAATTGTAGATATAATACATGAAAATAAAATTGCACTCTATTTTTAATTTACTCGCGCACAATCCAAACTCCCTTTCTTTGACTGCTTCTGTTTTTTTGGGAAAAATTTGCTCTTGATCTTTTTATGGACAAAGAAATATACCTTTGGTTCTTTTGTACTCGGAATATTTATCACGATCCAAAAACGTTCATTCTTTTTCTAAATGCGGGTACTATTCATATATGAGTGTATTTCTAGTAGTTTTTTTTCTTTTTTTTGTGTGTTTATTCCAATTCACGTACTTCTGATTCTACTGCAAATAAATCACACTTCTTGATCGGGAATTTATCGAATTTCATTTGCACAGGATTTGGTTCCATGTACTCTGGTCACATTCGAGAAGGAACAGATTGTTATATGGAGAGGCATAAATTACAAACCAGCTGAAGGTGGATATTTTCTTAAAGAAAGGGAAATCTTCGAGGGTCCAGATGATGATGATGATGATCGAGCAAACGTTTTACATGGCAATGAGACAACAGATTTTGAGCCCGATGAGGCCGAATACCACTCTGGCGAATCTGATGATGAGTAGTTTTTGTTAGCTTGTGGTTCGGCTAAGTTACAAAAATACTCGGTTATTTTTCGAACTGACTAACTAATTGCTTGAGGTTTTTGGATGTGTTGAAACTAGAATCAACTCTATCAACTTTGCAGAAAGTGAAAAAAAAAAAGTAGATCCAAGACAAGAACTGTTATAACCACATTCATCATTGTGTTCATAATGTCTGAATTTAGTTAATAAGAATTAAGAATAGTTTGTAGCTCACATGCCTCTGCATAATTCATGAGATAGTGTTGTGGAATATGTGAGTTGTTGAGATTTGATGGGCACCACTCTTTCATGTGATTTGTTTGCTTTGTGTATATTGTAGTACTTTGTTTTTGTGCTCTTTGTGGTATAAACTATGCAAATTTGGAAGGATCTTTTTGTTTTCTCGTGTGGAGGAGTACTACTATTTGGGATTCGAGTGGATTATTTTAATAAGGAACGTTTGAATGGAAATTTTGAATCAAAAAGTGGAAAAAAAAAATTGTGCAATGAAATTGTTTTAATTTTGCCAATATATATAAGAGGTAAAATGTAATAATTAAAATTTATGTGATAAAAAATAGTAAAATAATGAATTTAAATGATTGATAAATGAAAATACGTGAGTGGGTGGATCATGGATGAATGGTGATTTTAGTTGAGAAGTATGTAGAATGTTTAAATTTATTATTTAATTGTATTAATTAGATTGATGAGGAAAAAATGAGAATATATAAATTATGAATGTTGTGAAAGAATTGTATGGAATTGAAGATTCAACAAATAAATTATTCCATGAGACAAACTTGAAGAGAAAAATTATATCCAATTTCTCTTATTATTTATTTGTTTGTTTCATTCATCATTATTCTTGTTCGTTGTTAGACAGGCCGGTTCATCGTACTATTTAAAAAAAATACATAAAATTATATTACTAAATATCATAATTTTATTTATATATATATATATATATATTATTACTAAATATAATTTTATTACTAAAATTATATTCTTTATTTATATGTATATTTTTATATATTTTTATTTATATATATATATATATATTTTTTTTTTTTTTGGTAAGTACGCGTCTAATGGCTTTTTAACTTTTTGACCGACATTTGAGGAAAATTGGAACGCTCAACGAATAAGGTTAGAGACGAGTCTTTTTCGAGATGTCAACACTTATATAATTTTTGGTTGCTAAAAAAGTCTACAATTTAATTTAATTTCATTTAATTATTATTTGAACTTATTTATCGGTCACACACAGTTTCCAACATGGAAATCAAACAGGCGATCGATTCGTGCCCTCCTTACTCAGCCCCGGGGCCAGATGGCTTCCCAGCGGCTTTTTACAAGAAATTTTGGCACCTCATTGGTCCGGACACGTGTGAATTTATTCGCACTATCTCCGCGAATGGGCGCTTCACGTCTAGTCTCGGCTTTTCGTATCTTTGCCTAATTCCGAAGATTGCCACGCCGCTTACTATTAAAGATTACAGACCTATTAGCCTTTGCAACGTCGTCTACAAGTTCGTGACTAAGGTTATTCTTTATCGGCTGAGACCAATCTTAGTCGAATGCATAGGTCTGGAGCAATCTGCTTTTCTTCCTGGTAGAGGAACTTCCAACAATGCCATCGTTCTCCATGAGGTTCTTCACAAATTTAACCAACGGCAGCGGGGATGTGAGTTCGCCATCAAAATTGACTTAGACAAAGCTTACGACCGGGTGAAGTGGAAATTCCTTCCTGACTCGCTAACACAACTGGGATTGGACGCACCCTCAGTCACTCTTATCATGGAGTGTGTGACATCCGCTCATTTCGCGATTCTTTGGAATGGCCGGCCGTCTTTGGACATTTACCCTTCCCGGGGTCTTCGCCAAGGGGATCCGATTTCTCCTTACTTGTTCGTCATCATAATGGAGCGACTCACTAGAACCATCAATCGGGAGGTCAGTACGCGTAATTGGGATCCCATTGTGTTGTCTCGGGGAGGCCCGACGCTTAGCCATCTGTTATTCGCTGATGATGTTCTGATTATGGCCCAAGCTAATGTCACTACGGCCAAAACTGTTAATAAAGTTCTTCATGCTTTTGCGGAGGAAGCGGGCCTTGCGATTAACTTGAGTAAGTCCGAAATCATTTTTTTCAGCATCGACCCCAGCAGGAAAGCGCAATCGGATATGCCATCAGCTCTCCATTCCAATGACGGATGTTTTTGATAAATATTTGGGCTTCCCCATCATTGCTGGGAGGCGTAAGGTTTCTCATTTTGAATTCATCATAGAGCGCATCTCTCGGAGGCTTCCCCCGTGGCGAGCTAAATTCCTTAACAAGGCGGCCCGTACTACTCTAGCGCGCTCGGTTCTCTCCACTATTCCGGTTTATTTTATGCAAATTGCATGGTTTCCGGAGAAAACTTGCCAGCAAATTGATAGCATCATTAAGAGATTTATTTGGAAAGACCGCGATGGACGGGGTTTACACCTAGTTAAATGGCAAACAGTGGCTACGCCGCGTCGCTTGGGAGGCCTTGGTCTTCGTCAAACTCGGCAAATGAACATAGCTATGTTGGGGAAAAAAGTCAGCGAATATATCGAAGGCACTCCATCTCTTTGGGTTGTAGCTTTGTCTGACCGATTTGGCAGGGGTTACGAGGGGATCAAAAGGTCCAAGACCCGGTCCTCTTCTGTCTGGTCAGCATTGAGGAGGTGCTTTTCCATCATTGCGAATGGTTTCACCTACAGGCTGGGCAATGGGGAGACCAATTTCTGGGAGGGAATTTATCTTCAAGGCAAACCCATCAAATGTCTTGTTTACTATGTTCATATATCGGACTCAGACAAATCATGCCGTCAGTTGATCGTTAATGGACGGTTTGATCTTCAGTCGTTGCACACGTCCTTCCCAGATCATATTATCAAGGCCCTGACGGACGCTAGGAATATTTATCTTCATCCTTCTGTGCCTGATAGGTGGTGTTGGTCGGTTGGTAGTAGTGGTAAATATTCAGTGGCTACTTGCTACGACTGGCTACTACAACAGGGCGCTGACACGAAGACGACATGGAAAAAGATTTGGAGGCCAGACGTTCCAGAGAAAATTAATATTTTCTGTTGGCTTATTGGGCATTGGTCGCTACCTACGAAGGAGTTGCGTCAACGACGACATCTAGATTCTACGGGGGCTTGTACGATTTGCGGGGATGGAACGGAGACTTGGGTGCACATGTTTTTTGAGTGCCCGTGGACTGCTCAGGTTTGGGCCGGGCTAATTCATTACGGTTTTCCTTATCGGCTGGCCCATACAACCCCCCTTGATAGCCAAGCTCTTGATTTCATCGTTCATGCGCCGGCGGGATTGCGGTTTGCCCTTTGGTTTATGTGGGTGGAACGCAATAACAAGGTGTTTGGTAAGCCATCTAAATCTCCTTACGCTGTTGTCAGGGATATCTTATCCTTCTTCCAATGGTGGCGGGAGACAAGGCGGCGGGCGGACATGCTCATGTATGGGGCTAGTCAAGATAGTTTTTCTAAGACTGTTACTTGGAACCCTTATTTTTGTACGGGCATGATCTTGTATACTGACGGCTCGTCAATGGGTAATCCGGGTCAATCCTGCTTCGGAGCCGTCCTGCGCAATCACGAGGGGGTGTGGATCGAGGGGATTTCGGGTAACATAGGTATTTCCGACAATTCTCTGGCCGAGGTGGTCGCGATTCTCGAAGGATTAAATTTAGCAGTGGCTCGTAGGTGCACAACTCTCACATGTTTACTCCGACTCGCAAGAGGCTCTCCGGCTGATTCAAAGGGCATCCGTAGTAAATCATGTTATGGGAGGGCTGCTCATGAACATCATGGACAAGATCAATTGGATTGGGAATGTGCGGTTTTTCCACATATGGAGAGAGGGAAATTCTGTTGCCGATATCTTGGCTCGGAGAGGAGCCAAGGAAGAAGCATTCTTTACGACTTGGGCTTTTCCCCCGGATGACTTACTCACTTCGTTGGCCAAGGATGCAGCTTGGTTTCCTTACATGCGCTTATAGCCTATTTTGTATTTCTCGTTGGTTGTTTTTTCTTTTGTTCTTTCTTTTTTCTTTCTCTTTAGCTTGTATCGGCGTTGCTGTTCTACTCAAAAAAAAAAAAAAAAAATTATATATATGAGCACCCACAATGCTTTGAGTCTCTTAGAAAAAAATACATGTCATGTAAGAAATAGACATAGTCTATAAAAAAAAATGTTTCCCAATGCAATTAAAATTGGACCTAGTCTAGCTTATGTGACAATAAAAAAAGAGACCTAGCCCACACTTGGGTCTATTTTAGACCCAAGTACAAACTCAAGCACTCATAATTTATTCCTCATTTAATTTTTTCTTTTAATAAATGAAATATATTAGAGCATTTTTATTGGTTGTTATGTATGCTAGACCTATTATTTTATTTTTGCATTAAATAGCTTTTGAGTTTTTTTACTTGAGTTTCATGTCATTTAGGACTTAAGTCTATTTATATGTCACATATGTAAAATTAGACCCAAAGCATTGTGAGTGCTCCATGCATCAACTTGCAACATAATTATTAGAGCAAACCAATGTGGGCCCACTCGCCCATGACGCAACACTCACTCCACCACTACTTTTATATGCTAATTGCTACACCTATTTGGTTATTATTTAATTTTATTTTATTTCATAATTTCAATGGCTTTTGGATTGTGCGGACATTATGGAATACAGATGTTGGCAAAGTACTAACGATGTAAAATGAGTAAAGATCATGGGAAAGTGACATTAGGATTATATGAGGAAATGCATTTCTAATTATGAATTATTCACATGTATCAAATATATAATTATTGGCAAATGCAGTCTATTAGTTGATTTAACAGTTACAAACTTCGACGAAATGATTTCGTAACGTAGAATCTCCTTATCATAATTATAAGCTAATGCAATTAGTGGTCAAATCTTATAATTCAATCCAAGTTATCACCATTATTAGCTGATTAAACCATCATCAACTATCCGCTAATTGCGAACTAAAAGAAAAAAATAAAACATTTGAATGTTCAAATAAAATTAATACAAGTCCCCAAATAAAATATTGTTCATATCATTAATCGGCAAAAAGATATAATTATGCTTTTCTTTTTCTATTTCAACTCTTGTTTTATTCATTTTCATTTCATTTCCTTTCCTTTTTTCAAATATTTAAATCCGTTTAAAGATCATTTCGTAACGTAGAATCTCCTTATCATAATTATAAGCTAATGCAATTAGTGGTCAAATCTTATAATTCAATCCAAGTTATCACCATTATTAGCTGATTAAACCATCATCAACTATCCGCTAATTGCGAACTAAAAGAAAAAAATAAAACATTTGAATGTTCAAATAAAATTAATACAAGTCCCCAAATAAAATATTGTTCATATCATTAATCGGCAAAAAGATATAATTATGCTTTTCTTTTTCTATTTCAACTCTTGTTTTATTCATTTTCATTTCATTTCCTTTCCTTTTTTCAAATATTTAAATCCGTTTAAAGATCGCGATCCCAAATTAACCGCCGCACATCATCATCATTTTGTCTCTGTAATTTCTTATTTTTCGTCTTCCCTCAAACCTTCATCCATCCACCGGCAATGGCAGCTGAAGTCCAATCTCTCTCCACTCCCCTCCTCCCCTCCGACCACCAAACGCCCCACGTCACACTCACCGTCACCGACCCGCCCGAAAGCCCCCAACCCGGGTCCCCGCGTGGCGGCGGCGACTGCCGGACCCCGTTTCAATTGGGCGATGAGGGCCGCCACAACCCATTCGCGTTCATCGGGGCGGAAAGCGGGTTCGAGGTTCCCGGATCCAGCACCATCGACCCGTTCCGGAACCACACGCCGGACATCGAGGGTTTATACGAGTGGTTGAAGATTGTGATCTGCCTGCCGATTGCCGTGGTCCGGCTCCTGCTCTTCGGGCTGGCTTTGTCGCTCGGGTACCTGGCCACCCTCGCGGCGTTGCACGGGTGGAAGGACAGGCAGAACCCGATGCCTAAGTGGCGGTGCCGGCTCATGTGGGTTACCCGTATATGTGCCCGCGCAATCCTCTTCTCCTTTGGGTATGAGCGTATTTGAGTTCTTTAGTGAATAGCACCTCTTTTTATGAAAGTAACTAAGCATGATTTGGACCAAACAAAACAAAACAACTATATATCCTACCAAACCGTAGGTGTTAGCTTCTGGTGGCTTTTTTAAGAAGAAAACAAGTTTGACTAGAGAAGCATATGATAGATCTTATCGGGAGGTTTACTATCGAGATTTGCCTTTCAACTTATCATGACTATTTTGCTGGGTAAAATAGTTGTCGAGCTTACATTTGAATGATCCCTGTTAACATCACTAATGGGAGTATGGGAGATGACTAGCTAAACATACAATGACCTCAATGAGAGGTTTATCATCCAGATTTTTTTTTCAACTAATCATGAGTATTTTTCTGGGTAAATTTGTTATCGAGCTTACATTTGAATGATCGCTGCTGAGAACACTAATGGGAGTATGGGAGATTGACTAGAGAAACATACGGTGACCTTAAGGAGAGGTTTATCATCCAGATTTGATTTTCAACTAATCATGTTTATTTTGCTGGTAAAATAATTGTCAAGCTTAAATTTGAATGATCTCTGTTGAGAACACAAATGGGAGTATGGGAGAGCTTCCTTCTATCCGTATCTCTCTCTCTCTCTCTCTCTGTATGCACTCATGACTCACCTGCTAATAGTTCAGTTTAGAAATTTCTGGATTGTCACACATTTGCAGGCAGTAATTATGTTGACTTTACAGTATCTGAGACCAATAAGCCAGTGTCTTCTATCTAAAGAATGGGTGACCAGATATCATTGAAGTTATTTTATTACCATCTGATAGTTAGATGGAGTAGAATGGTGGGGATCCCATAGGAATTATGTCAATGGCTTGGTTACGAGTTAGTTAACTCTCATCTGTATGAATTTTGTGATCTTAAATAAGAGTGACATGAACTGCACTTTTGCTGTAAGATAATGACGACTTGCAGTCCTGAACTCCTGGATGAAAGTGTCAAAATTAAATTGTTGTTTCTCCTGTGGACGATGGTTTTGTTTTGCTGTCTATGATAGTTTGGTGTCATATTCTTTCATCAACTCAGTTGCTTCTTTTGTTGTCCTATGCTGCAGCTACCACTGGATTAAAAGAAGAGGAAAACCTGCTCCGAGGGAGATATCTCCTATAGTTGTATCTAATCATGTATCATATATTGATCCTATTTTCTTTTTCTTTGAATTATTTCCTACTATTGTCTCGGCTGAGTCGCATGACTCTATGCCTTTCGTTGGGACCATCATCAGAGCAATGCAGGTACTTCATCTTATTCTTTTTCACTTTCCATCGAAATATGTGTTGTACGTCTTCCAGTCAGTATTTTCTTGGTCCACTTACTATACGAACTTCTAATTTTTTCACTGCATTAAAGCTACAGGTTATGCATTCCTTATTAAATTTTTCCCTGTAGGTTATATATGTTGATAGGTTCTCAAGGTCATCTAGAAAGCATGCTGTAAGTGAAATAAAGGTAAAAAGAATCTGTATGGGCTGTTTACTTTTCTTTAACTGATGCAAACCAAATGAACGAATCTTATTTAATTATTGGTTTATGGGATGGGGGATGGATAAATTATTGAGATTTAAAGTTCTAGCTATATATAAGCTATTTGATACAGAAATGTATTTTCAAGGATTTGAAAACAGAGAAAAGCTTCTTCCAACCATTTTCCTCGAGTGCTTTTATTTCCCGAAGGAACAACGAGCAATGGAAGAGTTCTCATTTCTTTTCAACTTGGTGCATTCATCCCTGGTTATCCGGTTCAGCCAGTTATTGTCCGTTATCCCTATGTACACTTTGACCAATCATGGTACACCCGTCTTCAATTTAATTCTTTTGTGCAGAATTATGGATATTCCATCTAACTATTATATAAATTTTCTTCATAAAATGTACCATTTTATCAGGGGGAACATTGCACTTGCAAAATTAATGTTCAGAATGTTTTTGCAGTTCCACAATTTCATGGAGGTACGGCCAATATATTCTCTCTAGTTTTTTTCTTGGTTGGTTTTTTATTTCTTTTTTTGATTGTTGTAATACTTGATTCATTTGCGACTTGTTCCTGCATGTCGCTCACCCAAAGGAGTTTCACAAAACCATAATTCCTACTTTGCAGAGTATACTGCTATAATTGTGCCAAGTGTGAGAGTTTCCTATTTGTTGGTACTTACATTGCGAATTGTATGATTGACTTCTGAAATGATGACATAAGCTGGCAACTGTACCTTGGAGTTCATCATTTCTCATTAATAATGTATTACTACGATTTTTTTTTTTTATTTTTTTTTTATTTTTTGTGAAAGTAAAAGAAAATGATCTGAGTTTTTTCTTTTGTATTATATGTTTGCAAAAATCACTACTCGTGCAAAAGAGCTTTTGCATATGGTGCCACATGATTCATATACAATATTTCTCTTACTTCCTATTTTACCCATGCTTTGACATCTCAATAATGTTTCTGACTCAGTAAGTTCCCTTTGTTTTCTGATATTCACAGGTCGAGTATCTTCCTGTCGTATATCCTAATGAAAATCGGAAAGAAAATGCAAGCCATTTTGCTCAGAGGGTGAGCCATGTTTCTTGCAGCTTTATTTCGCTACTTTCACCAATGTGATAGAAACAAAAATTACTTGGGAACAGATTGATCATGTGTAATCTTGCTCTTGTATATAGTTTGTATTTTTTCATTCTGACCTGTTATCATTAGCAAGCTTCTGGAAGGGCGGCCCATATCCCAATTTGCATATTTTGTGTTAAATATATATTGCTAGAGCATTTTGTCCTCCACACTATCACTCCAGTAAAACTATTCGAAACTTAACTTTCATTTTTTTTACCACTTTGGTGACATTTTTGTCTAACTGAGGATCATAATTACAGTAAGGTGCAGGGGATAAGCAGTGTGTTTGGTTTGCTAACATCTTCTCTTTGTGGTTAAAGTCCCCAAAGATTGATAGGACTAGGTTATAGATAGAATGACAGTTGCTCTTTGTCTTAATTATCCTCTCTCTTGCTTTCCCCTTTTTTTTTTTTTAAATAGATGTATTATAATAGAGGGAAGTTGGTTGCTTTTAGAGTGTGGTTTTTATTATCTAGATCTTATTTCAAATTGATAAGCAATGTAGATAACAGACCATGCAAATCAAACCCTTCTTTGTTGTGAAATGCTTTACCTTTTCTCTATTCTGCTTTTGAGCTTAGGACTTGTCAAATTTCCAGTCTCTTTTAATTGCCAAAAATATGTTGTATATTCCATGACTATTTATGCGTTGCTATTCCACCTGTTGGTTTAATATTAATCTGTTCAAGTTGTGTGTCTCATTCCAGACTGCTCATGTCATGGCAAGTGCTCTTAATGTGGTGCAGACATCTCACTCCTATGGGGACTTTATGCTTGTTGGAAAGGCAGCTGAATCAAAGCAGGTTTGAGATTTTTGTTCCTCAGTTGCTAATAGAATTCATTTTGTTAGTAAAAATAGCCAAAACAGCGTCTATCATTTACGGATATCTCCTCATCATTAAATTGCATTGATAAAGGGAGAGCAGCAAATCTTACTGCCTAATTCCTGTTAGTTGCTTTGATCTTGTGGTCTAAGTTGTGACACCATGTCTGAATCGTCTTCATCCTTTTCTCCCCTGTAAGTTGTGACACCATGTCTGAATCGTCTTCATCCTTTTCTCCCCTGTCAAGTTACTGGTTCAGCACATGCGAACTTTGAGCGGTGTTATTAATGTTGATCCCTGCTAAATATAGTATGTTAAAAGTTCACACCAAAAAGTCATGTGAATTTTCTGTTTTCCTATATATCATCTCACCTCCATATCCAGCCATGTTAAGTATTTGATTATTCAATAGACATCAAAATAAGAAACAAAGATATAATATGTGGTGCTGAACAATTAAGTGAAGATCTATGTTTTCAGTTCGATCGCATAAAAGCTGGGTTAATTCATTACTACAGTAACGTATGGAGGCCTGTGGATTTGTTAGATTTAATTTATTTCTCCTGTTTTTATCTTTTTTTTGTTCTAAGTATGGAATCGTTAGTTGGCACTTATCCAATAGTGATTTCACATTTTATGTATTTTGGTTCTGCCCAATCCTATTTGAACTTATGGAAAACAACTGTTTTTATCATTTTTTTGTTCTAAGTATGGAATCGTTAGTTGGCACTTATCCAATAGTGATTTCACATTTTATGTATTTTGGTTCTGCCCAATCCTATTTGAACTTATGGAAAACAACTATATTGGAAGTATTGCTGATATGATATGCCTATTTGTTTTATGATGTTGATGTATATTGCTCACTGATATGTTATATATATATATATATTTTTTTTTTTTTCCTTTATCAGGAAAATCCATCGCGGTATATGGTTGGAATGGCCTGGGTACAGTCAGTGAGTTAGAATCCCTAATTAATGCTTTTCAGACTTTATTGAATTAGAAGTGCTCTATCTTTATTGCTCTCTTTTGTTGGCATCTTATCTTTTGAATTGTTTAATGTCCTTTGTCTGTCCATTCCTTCTCGCAATTCACATAAAAAGTGCTTCAGATGAATTTAGTTTCATGGATAGGCGGGTGCATCATTGTGATTTGCATTATTTTGAAATAGTTCTATCATCATTGGAGTTCTGCTTATTACTCTGATCTTGAGTTAAATTCATATCTTGTAGTTTAGCTGCCTAATGTTAATTTAGAGCTGAAGTTGTACTAAAAAAGTATTATCATGGAGTTGGTTTGTATACCTATTAAAATTTGACCCTTTGCTGTATCTACTCGTGCCTAGTGGTTTCTGAATGTCTCTTTATCACCTTAATCCAGTAAACATAACCTCAAAATCAGTTGCTCAAAGTCGTCCTTTTAACTTCTAACAGTACATTCATTAGCTAGTTATGTTATGATGTCATCCTCATTCTACTTTTGTTACTTATATTGTGGCTTCATCCTGTAGTAGTGTAACATGCTACAAAAATAATTGGAATATGAAATCTGGAATGAATTAGATGTACCTTAATTCCTGTCTCATGAATATAATTGTTTGTTTTTAACTTCTAATTTAGTGCTTAACCGATGTAAGACTCATGCAATTATGATTTTCAGGCACTCAATTTGAAGGCACTGGAAGCTGTCGATTTGTTAGAGATATTTCTGTCAATGAATCCAGATGCCAGGTGTATAAATATATCCAATCTTTTTTTTTTAATTAATATTCCATGCCCGACAGCTTTTACCTGCCCTCACCCTCAGTGAGAGGATTTATTTTCATCAAGTTCCAATATTTGCATCTTTAATTTTATAATTTTTTCATATAATATCAAAACCATCTTTCTGATACATTCAAATATCTGCAGTGGACATGTTGAATATCATGGTTTTCTGAGAGCTCTAAGATTGAAACCTTGCGGTATTTCTGAAAAGGTTTGCGTTGAATATCCATAAGTTTTCCATTGCCTTTTAACTGATCATTGTGCTTTTTTTGCTGCTTATATGCCTTTTCCATTTGTTCGTTTACCATGTTATTTCCTTTCATTCCTCCTGTATTCTGCAGATGTTTGGATTCGTTGATGTGCAGAGGATTGGTAAGATAACATTTAAACATGTACGTTCGAAACTCTTATCCTTGTTGGTGTGATTTTAATTCTGTATAGATAGATATATGAAAAATGCTTTATCTTTTTTCAATGCAGTTTTAATACGTGAAAGCTCGTTTAACAATTGAAACTCTGTTACTTCCAGTTCTTGGTTGGCTCCGCGCAAATCTTGAAGCAGCCACTATTTTGCCATGCCTGTGAAGTAGCATTTAACGAATGCGACATGGGAGGAAAGAATTACATCGTGGCTCAAGAGGTTATCTTCACTATCCGAAAAATCTACTGTTGTTAGCATCTATTTGGCTTGTGTTTAACATTTGATCACATGTCTTATTCTTTTATGACAGTTGCAAGATGCAGTGTCTCTATCCATTCCAAATATGAACTGTGATGAGGTGTGTGGGAGAATTTTTTACCAAAAGATGCCATTTAAAAGTTTTTTTTGGACTCAACTGTGCTTCAGAATATAAATCGGGATTCTTTTTTTTGTGTTCAAACACGCACAAACGTTCAGTACTAAAAAAATGTTGATTTTGGGAACTTTCAGGTCCAGGGACTGTTTAGTCTTTTCGATGAGGACAATGATGGGAAGATTTGCAGGGAAGATTTCAGATCATGTTTGAGAAGACATCCATTGCTCATAGCTCTCTTTGAACCTAAATTGCTGCACAGAGATCCACCTATAGCTGCTGATCAAAGTTTAGTCCAAGTCATATAACAAACGCAAAAAGGACCAAACTCGATGTCTTTTTAAGGGTGTTATTTTTTTTGGTTTTCCTTGTGTAGGAACCTAATATCCACACAGTGTGTGTGTGTGTGTATGTGTGTGTGTGTGTGTGTGTGTGTTTTAATTGTATTTTTTCAAATTAAATTCTGTAAAGACAAAAATGCTTGGAGCTTGGTGGTGTATCATATAATCAATGTTGTGTTGGTGAATTATGGTAATTGGCTTTACACTGTTGTGTGGTGTGAGGCCATTATGAGATATGAAAAGATATTTTTATTTTTCAAACATTAGGAGGGAAATTGTATTTGTTGCTGTAATCTTTTGTAGAATTTTATTTATTTGTTTGTTTGTTTGTTTTGTTTTTTAATTAATGCTGCAGGTACATTTTGGCTGGGAACATTGATTGACGAGTTATGGACCAAACAGATATTTATTTTTATTTAATGCCTTTAACGTGGGAGTGTACTATGTCTATGTGGTGCCTTTGAAATCGATATTTTTCTTTTTGCTTGGATATGAAATTTGGCCAAATTTCTAAATAAAAATCCATGTCACATTATCTGTTGGGATAATTATCGCGAGGCACATAGAGCCGAATAATATCTCACTTTTTGCATTTTTTTTTTTATTTTTTTTGCCTTTTCTTTTGTATGGTGATACACATGTTTCTGATATTATTTCTAGAGTTTACATATTTGTGTGAAAGATATCATATGCAATTACATTTGTAATACAATGTATTTGCTGGTTGTTACAATATACACTTGTGAGTTGCTCCACATCGTCTATACAGATAAAATATGCCTAACTTATAAGCCTAGTAGTGGGCTACTCTTCCTACCGGCACTTGTTTTTAGGATGAAATTCCACTAAGGCCCATCTAGGCTCACCATGTTTTGGTGCGTTTCACGTCCGTGGGACCTAATCAACTAGCTTTTATTGAATTTTTTTTTATGTTATTCGAGTCGTAACGTGCTCATTGTGTCATTTGTTATTATTAATTATAGGTTCTAATCGTGCTATGTCATGTTCATATTTCGTGACGTCTCAGTCATTGTCATCTCTAATATACAGTCCGTGAGTTATTCCTAGTTTATGATCTATTTTGACATTAAATTATGCTCAAAATTCACCAAAGGATTCCAATTAATAGCACAATTATGAGCAATCAAAATGTATTAATACGGATAGGAATAATTTGGATCATTTCTCTTAATCTAATTATATATAATCAAGTAATTTTATTGTATGATGTGCTCAAAACTAAAAAGCCAAAAAAAAAAATAATAACCCCAATTCATTTATGCAAGATTTATTATAACAGAGGTCACAAGGACAATTTTGTTAGGCCCACCACTAGTAATTGTTCATTCAACACCCCCACATTTGGAAACTTACAATGAAGAGCATTTGTCACGCCTAAATGGTCCCCTACCAAGTACTAATTTTAATTGCATCTAAACACAATAATAATATTTCCCTTAAAATTTTGAACCTCCAAATTCCTAAAAATGCCAAAAGAGTTTGCCAAAAAGTCCAAAACCTCCTCCACTTGCTGACAGGTGTCTGAATCACAATTTTTTTTTTTTTTTTTTTTAAGTTAGGGCATCAAACGACGCAATGCACATTGGATCGCTACGAAAACAACCTCCTTGTATAATTATAAGGGTAAGGTCTGCGTACAACTGACTCCCCAGACTCCAACCTGTTGGGAATATACTGTGTATGTTATTGTTGTTGTTGTTGTTGTATATTAGGGCATCAAAACCATATACTAGTTTTAATTCCAATAATTACCCTTTTGTTTAATTTAATAGTACCAACTTTTGAAGGTTCAACATTTGAAAACTAATTATCTTAGGGGTCTCAATGTAAAAATGTCACTTTGTATAACATGCTATGGCCATTTTCTTTCTCTCACAGTCACCGGGACCATTGCAATTTGTGTGTCTAAAAAAACATGGATTTTAAATTTATCTTTTATAAATAAAAATACGATACCACTGTGTGTAACTGTACCCACTATCTTTACTCAGATACGATCGTGTATATCGATATGGATCTGAAAGAGAGAACAAAAGTGACCAATGCTTATTAGCTAATTCCAAATTAAAGCAAATATTCCAATAGTATTATTTCAAGTACTTGTTTTAAAAGGAGATGAAATGTTTATTAATTTTATTACCTTAATAGGGCAAGAATATATGAATTGTGTGTTTAAATGTTGGAGACATGAAAAGGCAATGTGAATATAAGTGCCATTTTGTTCCATTAATGTATCTTTTATGTAACATAGTAGAAATGGAAATTATTACTAGAAGGGAGTATATCTAGGAAACTTTATTTGTCAACAATAGTAATAAGGAATAATGAATTAACGTTACTATCGCCCTTATATATAATTACCGAATGCAGAGTCTAAATGTCAGACTCGTGTGCTTCGTAAGCTTATTTGTCATAATAGAAATACTTAATTGTGTCTATTGAATGAATAGGTTGATAATATAATTGTGTTTTCATTGAAAAGGAGGTTATTTGCTAGGAATATTATGTTTGCTAGCTTCTAAATCAAAGTAAAACTTTGAATTAAAGTCAAGTTTAGGATTAAAGAAGGCCCAATCTTAGTTTCAACATATATTAAAAGGAAATTACCTCAACATTTCCATTGGTTATCATTACACACATTAAGTTTACTACGTTTGTCAAAGTAGATAATAATTAGAAAATTGACTCATGTCAAAAAAAAAAAATAAAAATAAAATACAGTACAAATTATCAAGTGAGAAAGAAGCAACAAGATCTATTAATCTCAATATAATTACATAAATTAAATAATCTACAATGATTTATGAAGAAATAAATAAGAAAGCATAGTTTTGGTGTCATATATAATTTATGGTTATATATAGCAAATACCTAGGCCAATACAAACTTAAATTAACACTTCACAGTTATTAAAATCTTGGATTAATGTGACTAATAAAAAGACAATCCACATTTATATTATGTTTTTGGTTTACCCAAATTAAATCAACTTATATGTTTTCCCCATAATTTTTGACCAAATAAATATGTTCTCCACTTATAGTTGTTATAATTTAAAGCTTATTTTGAGGCCAAAATTAAAGGATTGAGCACCACTAATCCATCAAAGGTGTAAGAAAATTTTAAATCTGAGATTTTAATTTACTATTTGTTCGTGACTAAAGGAAAATTTTACCACTAAGTGAAAGCGAAATTGCTAAATTGACAACCATTATTGTGTTTGGATATAAAGAAAAAATAAAATATGCCCCGGAAATCATAGGTTTTTGACCTGGTAGGTTGACCCGGAGCCGGAATCGGTCCGCATGGGCTATTTGGACCGGGCAACAAAGGATCCGGTCAACCCGACCGACCGGTGCATTAATCCGGCCAATATATATTTTTTTATTTTTATATTATTTTATTTTATTTTTCAAAATAAAACTATGTATATATGTTTATATGGTAATATTATCATGAGATGCATATTATTAACACATTAATGTACAAATTTTATACAGAAAACATTTAATTTTATGTTACTTTTATGTATATTTATATGAAAAATATACTCTATATATAATTTTAAAATTTTAAAATTAATTATCCGGTTCAGCAATTGACCCGATGATCCAAAGATCTGCCCGGATCAATTATCGGGCCGAATTTAAAAACTATGCCCGAAATTAGGAAATCGATACCCATCACACATAAATGAAATGCACATGAATATGAATATAGACATTTAACCGAACTAATTATGGGGAATCTATTACACCTTTTAAAATGTTTTTGTATATGTTCCACTTGGATATTTTAATAATAGAGTTATCTAATTACTTTAACCATGGTGTAAAATGAATAAGTGGTTAATGTAATTGTGTAATAAAAGTTTTTTCGTTTGCTTTTAAATTATTATGAAAGGAGATCAAAATAAAACATATGAAGTTTTATTATTGATTCCTCATCTTTGTTGATGCGTTATCTATTCCAGTTTTATCGATATTATTATGCTCGGGCTCGATTATTTAAAACTTTTCTACCCCAAAAAGTCAGTTTATCACATACTCCCTCCAATTCAATATAATTGACATTTTGGCTTTTTGCACAACAATTAAGGGATGTTTATTTTCCAATAATACCCTCATTAACTCAAATTAAAAATGTGGACCAATATGTGAGAAGTGGAGTATATAAAGAGACAATGCTTATCAGGTGGAGGGTAAATGTGGAAAAATATTGAAAAAAAAACTTAAAACGACAATTATTTAGTAAATGAGCCCAAATGGCACAACGACAATTATATTGAATTGGAGGGAGTATTCAACTTAATCTTCTTGGCGCTTTACCGAATTGGACTCTGTCTTGTTTACACGAACCTATGAATTAATTAACAACTTGTTTATTTCATCATGAAAATATGTCTTAAGTATAGAAAGGATAATATAAATTGATTCACCCTACAAAAATACAAACAATAATTTGTGTAAATAAAAACAATACCATGCACCAATTTAGATAGACAAAAAATTTAAGTTTAGGTAAAAAAATATATATATATATATATATATATATATATTTAGGTCTCACTAATGACAAACAAGTTGCAATAGAATTATAGAAATACTAAATGAAAGGTAGTGAAGCTTTTTGACCTGACATTTATGGCAACTCACACAAACCTATTATTTCTCATAAGAATAAAAAGCTGTGGATGCTAATTTTTGGCATATAAAGTTAGTGGACAAATTAAGTACTAAAATTTTTATAGAGGTTTTTTGTTACTAAAATTATAAAATCATGACACACACACACACCCCCACACACACACATGATAAAGAACCACACACACAAAAAAAAAAAAAAAAAACATGAAAGGGTAAAAAAGGTATGTGGGTCCTACGTGGCAGTCTCATTCTTTTTATTGCAAAAAACCATGAATAGGACGATGCGTTTTCGACTTCTGATTGGCTGCGCGTTGTACGTCCAAATATTTGACATCTTTATTGCATTGTACGGACACCCCTCCACTCTCTCTCTCTCTCTCCTCACAAATTTTTAATTTTAACCTTCCTTACTTACTTGCCAATAAATATAAATAAATAAATATATGAAAAAAAAATGAAAATATATATTTATATTTCTTTTTTTTTTTTGTAGCCAGCTATAGTATTCGGATCGATGCTCCGAACTAATTCGTTGGTCGACACAGGTCGCACACATGTCAGTGGTGGGTGAGTTTCCCAACAAGAATTTTCTGCATCCACAAGAACTCGAACCAGAGACCTTGCTTAAGCGACATCAAACTGCTTACCGCTTGAGCTTGGTAATATATTTATATTTCTGATCATATGTATATGTGCAATATATGAATGCAGAGTTACGGACTATAATAAGTGTCAATTTTTAATGATTGGTAATTTTTAAGTATTAATATTTTATTTTTTGTAATTGTAAGTGTTTAATTATATCTGATGCTCCACGAGTATTCTTTGTAAGTTTGAACTTTGATTTCTAGAAATTATTTCGATTATAATTTTTTTTATTAATTTAAATCGTAAATATATTATTAAATTAATGATCTTTTGACAGCTATCGATTTAACACTCATATTGTAGATATATATATATATAAAAAAACGAATCTATTTTAAAAATAAAACTAATATCACATAAATAACCTCAATTGAAAAGTAATAAACTTATTATTTATTAATGAAATAAATTTATATTTGAAATATAAAATTCATCATTAACAAATATAGTACACAACATTGTACCATTAATAGTAGTATTTTATTGTATGTATATGTAACAACTCACAATAAATGTGTGTGTGTATATATTCACATGTGGATGTGAGCATGCATTTCCTCTATTATTATCAAGTCTTTGGATCTTGACTTTTCATGGGGTCATTGTTTTTTCTTTCCATCACATGTAATATTTCACTATATATGTGGGGTTTTGTTAAAGCTAGAA